ACAGTCTCACACATAGACACAAACAAATGTAGGTTGTCCCTGGTAGAATTATTCCTGATGCTTTTCTTTCAGTTACTTATTTAAATTAATTGTTATTATTCCAGCTCTCATGGCTGTGCTGTGTTGCTTATTTAGTGTGCTGGACTGTTTCTTGTTTTAATTTTCCTCTTAGTTGTCTTACTATGTCAGCTGTTTATTGCTGCTGTTCGGCTGGTTGTTTTTTACTATTATTATTATTTATTATATATGTTTGTGCCCCCCCATCCCTGTGTCTGCCCCCCTGTCCGGCCCGGTGACAAATCAATACATAATTAAATAAATAATAAAACAGACAAAGGAGTATATTAAATGTAAATGCTCCGTATTTGTATAGCGCCTTCCTAGTCTTTTCGACCACTCAAAGCGCTTTTTACACTACATCTGCATTCACCATTCACACACATTTATACACAGCCTAAGTGCTCAAACAGAAAACTAACATTCACACACATTCATACACTGGCGGAACAGCCGCCAGGGGCAATCTTGCCAGTTCAGTATCTTGCCCAAGGACACTTTGACACGCAACCAGGGGGAGCCAGGGATTGAACCGCTGACCTTCCGATTTACGGCCAACCCGCTCACAGCCGCCCCATTAATACTCTCTCATTAAAGTAAAAATCTGTCTGGCACAATATGGTATCCAGGTCATCATACTTTAAAAAAAAACACAAAAAAAACCCAACAACAACAAAAAAAAAAGATTTAGCTGCATTGAACAGGAGGGTAAATATTAAAGTTGGAAAATGCTTGTAATGCAACTTTTTTTATTACATAGCCATGTACAGCGACCATACTCTGTAATGTTAAAGGTAACATTAGCTAACGCTACGCTTGCTATCTTGCATCATGCACCAATCGGTTGAACATGAAGTTTTTATTTAACGTTTGTATTTTTATTTATGTTTGCAAATGATGCTTGTTTCAATGTGTAGAAGTCAGTAATGTGTGACCGTACAGCCCGTGTCTTTGCTGGAGTTTCTCACTAACTTCTACTTATAGCACTAAATAACAAGCAGAAGACATCCACAGATTTCAGCTTGTTTTGAGACTGAGCATCTTCACGATCCCCGGCCCACCTCATCATTAACTGAAGAAATCAGGTTAGTGACACTAAAGTTATTATATGTCAAGACCCTGACCCATCCTCTATAACACTAAGTTTGGAGAGCAGTGTTTCCCACAGAAAGCTGTGGTGCAGCAGGTAGCGTGCAATCAATATATGACTACCAGCTATGTACAGAAACTTTTTTGAAGGTGGGTCTCCGACACTGACAGCATTGTGTTGAAAAGATTTGTGCAGCGGTGTTCAGTGTGTTTGCGAGTGAGCGAGAGGAGGTGCTTTCATTCAAAAACGGCTTTACTCATTTTAAAATTAAAACAAAAAAAAATCTATATGTGGCAGTTAGCTATGATAATGTGACGGGCCGGTATAAATAAATGAATGTATGGAAACACTAGAGAGGCAGTGCTTTTTCTATACTGTATATGGTCCTTGAAACTATTGATGGCATCATGGGGGGTACTGTCAAATTAATTATCACAGAAAGTAGTAGTAGTTTAATTGTCACATTACAACAGAGTTGTAAAATTAAATGTGGTTTGTAACTCTCTTCTGCTACATAGCAGACAATATACAGTATACAAAAACAATCATAAAATGGCAAAGAGAAATAAACTATAAACTATATTCCATGGAGCAGTGCTGAGGATGAAGTTGAGTTAGAGGACACTATGCACCACAAAGGCAGAAGCTATACTATCACCGTTATTTCTACCTATTTTCTTCTGTTGTGTTATTACTATTACCTTAAGTGTCAGATCATCCAGTTTATTTTATATTAAAGTTGTGTGTCAATGTAAATTGTGTCAACATCATCTGAGATGAAAAGGAGCCAACAGCCTAGTTCTCTTCTGTGTATAATGGATGTAGTTTAAATGTTACTGAGCAGTTCATTGGACTTAAGTAGTAATGTCAATGAGTGAGGGGCTTAATTATGTTGTGCTTCTCTTCGTCTCAACAGTGTCCACTGCAGCTAGATGTGAACAAGCCTTGCTTCTGTTACAGGAACAGGTGGGTCGGAACACTAATGTGATTCATCAAATAGATCATTGTCCTTCCTCTGAGGAAGACCTAAGAAGGATGAGAAGCAATCTGATACAATTTCCTAATATTTTATAAAGCAGTTATTTGAAAAATATATATTATTTCTTTTATAGATGTGATGCTAGTAAACCTGGATGCGTATAGGAGCAATCTAGTGGTATTTTGTGACGTTGCTCATCATTTTAAGATTGACAGGTGAATTTTCCTAACAAAAAATTATAAGGGACAATTTTATGACAGAAAATGTATATTCTCATATAAAAAGGTATGGATAACAGTGAAGACAACCTCTAAAATACTGACATTTGTGTTTTTTAAATCAGAATCAGCTTTACTGCCAAATAGAGTTGTATGTGTAAGTAAAGCTTACACATCCAAGGAATTTGTTCTGGTGACTTGGTACATAACAAAAATATATAATGGCAAGATACAAAATATAAACAAATAATATAGACTATGTTTATATGGCAGTTATTAAACATTTATGAGCGTCAGATTTGCATGCGTAAACATTTACACGAGTGTCAGATTTGTATACGTAAACATTTACACAAGCGTCAAATTTGCATGCGTAAACATTTACACGAGCGTCAGATTTGCATGCGTAAACATTTACACGAGCGTCAGATTTGCATGCGTAAACATTTACACGAGCGTCAGATTTGTATACGTAAACATTTACACGAGCGTCAGATTTGTATGCGTAAACATTTACACAAGCGTTAGATTTGTAGTTGGATAAAGTTACAGATGTGCAAGAAGTACGTCTATCTGTCTATCACTGCCTCTCGTTCTCTCCCTCCCTCTCAGTTCGATTTTCCCTCTCTCTATGTCTGTCTTTCAATTTCTCTTTCTCAGTTTGCCTGTATCTCTCCTGTCATTGGAAAAGAGACTGATCCTCGCTGTTTGTGAGTTTCCAGAATCTATTACTGTTTACTAAATAGGACATCAACAGAGGGTATTCACATGATAGAGCATCCCCGCAAAACTAGATGAAGGCCTATCTGGTAAAGTTATGTAGCCTATAATTTTAACTTAAGTTAAACAGGCTACAGCTGTGTAGCACACAGAAGCCATGGTTGCTCTCCGTAGAGCGCCTGATGTTTAATTGCGGAGCACTTGTCTCCTGTTCACCTGAGGAAAGAGCAAACCCACGGGGCCAAGAGACTACTTTGTGATTTTAAGGATGTTTCTAAGACCGACATCTTCCCCAATACTAATCAGCATGCAGTGTGTAGCTATCCACTTCGCCGTGGCATTTGATCGCTTGTCTTGCTTCTCCCACAAGCTGCATCCAGGGTAGTCTGCCGAAGCCTCGATCCTCCGCTACTTGTTTGGGTGGGTGATTGTTACGGCTGCCACCGCCCCCACCTGTATTTGCCTGTGCTTTTAAGTAGGCTATCTGTTATGCTGAGCAGGTTGTGCAAGCCCACGCGGAGGATTGGCTGCACAAGGAGAGAAGGTCCCGTCTACTTCCTGGGTTTCCAGTTACCATGCCCTCGATTGGTGCGGCATGCTCTACGGGCCAATCAAAGGGCGACAGTGACGACCACCACCTGCCTAAAAGCCTGCCGGGTCTGCCATTCGAGGCAGCAATCTGCTTGCCTTGGGAACGCCTGTCATAGAGCTTATAGTAGTGTTTTGTAACCCGTGCTAGACGTTGTGTCTTGACTTTGTGTGTTTCACTGTGTGAAGGTAAGAGAGTGGGCCAGGGCTAAGCTTAGATATCACTGACACCTTTCTTGCACACACCATAGTTGTTTTATGTTAGTTTTCACCAGGTTCAGGGGTGCTGTGCGTTTTGGGTTTTGGGTTTTTCAAATGCTGTAGGCTAGTGCGCTTTTGGTTTATTCTTGTTTTTGTTAGTACCTCTGTAAGCAGTAATCCTCCTTTTGAGGATCTCCTTTTGTTATAATTGTTTGTTGATTTCCACAGCACCCATTGGCCCATCCTCTGTTTGTGCTCCACTTGCATTATTTCAAATAAATATCCTTCCAAACCAACAACATCTGGTTTATGTTTATGTCCCTATATCCCTAGACACCTCGGGACGTAACAGTGATTTGCAGGCTGATCAACATCCCACTCCTCCATGGTTTGACTGTCTGTTTATTCAGAGCCAGTGAGCAAAGGACTTTCAAAATAATTATAATAAAAAAAACTGCTTTAACGTGCGATAAAATAATTGTTAATTGGCGTTAATTAATTAATGCGTTAACACGATAATAACAGGTAAACGTGCCCAGCACTAATATAAAGATCAAAAAATATAGGTGGGCTCACCCTTCCCAAACTGCACTCATATTACCGGGCTACAAAATTTACTAAGATGCTCAACACCCACTGCTACAATTGTTATTATTAGTCTGATAATTATTACTATTGATATCATTATTATCCATCCATCCATCGTCAACCACTTATCCTGCGTACAGGGTCTTGGGGGGCTGGAGCCAATCCCAGCTGACATCGGGCAAAAGGCGGGGTACACCCTGGACAGGTCGCCGGTCCATCGCAGATCATTATAATTACTATTTTTATTAATAGTATTACCACTACCATTACTATTACTACTAAATCTATATGTGGATGTTGCATTAATTAATTAATAATTAAATAGCTGGTAATGGTATGTGGCTTTTATGAAAATATTGTTTTTAAAAGCTTTCTATGTTGGAAAACATGATTTCAAAACATGCCCTCAACATACTCTCAACACTGTGAAAAACAGTAAGACTGGATCTCTTTATTGCTTGGTAAATCCAAGCACTTTCAAGGACTTTCCAGACCCGCAATATGTATACTTGCAAAATATGCTATAAATCCACAGAAATTTTGAGTAAGAAAGTTGTACCTGCTGCTTCTTCCCAGAGAGGATGTTGAGAAAGCTGTCATCCAGAGCTGTTTTGTACTGGCTCAGCTCGTCTTTGCTGTCATCAGCTCCCACTGAACAGCTCTCTGTCATGTAGCAACCACAGGAAACAAAAGGCAGCAACCAGCCCTGCTCATATTGCTGCTGTTCAGCAGGATAATGACTTAGCCATAAAGTCAGCTCTTCCTGGCTCATCAGTTCCCAATCTCTGCTGAGAAGCTGGGCATCCAGGTTCTTTGTCCAGTGATCTCCCTTGTGTGGTAGAAGACTGTAACACTTTGAATGTGGCCCAACAGCAATACTAACTCCAGAAAGATTTGTGGAGGACGTGGATGAGGAAGAGATGGAGGAGGCACAAGAGGAGAAGCTGTGGATACAGGGAGGAGCATCTCTGAGCCCAGTCACTGAGTCCAACCGATCCCCTCTGTGGTCCAGCTGGGAGTGTTTTTCTGCAGTGTCTAGGCTCTTCTTTGCCTGCTGCAAAAGCTCCTGGGACACTTTGATGTTGACCACCATGGTGCTGATCTGATGATCTTTTGTCACTTTGGACAGCTTCAGGCCGACCAGCTGCTCCACTATCTCCCTGTCTATGTCTGCATCTGGTTCATGTTCTTCCTCAACCCTACCTGGGTCAAACTTCCCAAGCAGAGGAAGCATGTCTGTGTACTCTTGATGGAGCTTAGTTTCTCCCTCCGTAAATTCATCTCTTTTTCTCCCCATCTCTGGCTTGACTCCTCTGTACAGCTGCTTATCCTGGTGGACCCGTCTTTCCACTGCTGTGTCTGCCTTGATGATGACTGGCCTGATAGTTCTACGAACTACTGAATGAGAAAGAGAAATGATTATGTATTTGTGAAAGTGTAACACAGATTTCCAAATCAAGAAATAATCTTTTATCTTTAGCTTTTTCAGTACACATGAGAACCCTACATGTTTGTGTGTTGTGCTCAGTACTGCTCTGTACTGGTTCCCCCACAATGGTTTGATGCGTTGTGGTCTGGACACCAGGCCACACATCTTGTTTTGGGTAAGCAGACAGCTCACCTCTCAGCCGTTCCTCAAGGGAGAACCTCTGCAGGACACACATATAAACAAGTGTATTGTGTAAAGCTAATTTCTAAGGGTGCTCCGATCGATCGGTCACCGATCGTAATCGTACGATAATTGCTTTAACTAGTTTGATCGGTTGTCTCTAAAAAGGCCGATCACATCTGACGGTGCAATACTCGCTAGACAAATTTTGGTGCACTTCGTGCAATTTAGTGTGGATGTAGCCTCACATTACCCCACTCCTCTCTTTACTCCTCTCATGTCAACCCTCCCCTTTACCCTGGGATTCTACCGTATTTTTCCGTTCTCACCCGGTATCCTCTCGTTAAATGTTTCCTCGTAAATCTCCCATATTTTTATAACCTTTAGAAAATCAAATAAAAACCTGCTGACTGTTTTTAAACTGTTTTCTACTCTCTCCTCTGATAAAGCCAGTGGCAGAAGGCCAATGTAAAAGATGTAGACTTTTAATGAGGATTTAATAACAACCCACTGAAATCATATTTATGCCCATACTAGTGGTAAACTAGGCTTTGTGTAAGTATAATGAAAATATTAACTATAAGTAATAATAACAATTTACTAAATAACTAATACTAAACTAACTAATTGTACTAGGAAAGCTAATTTGCAAGTCTGTTATTTAATTCAAAAAGTGAATCTTCACATATATAAATTAGATTAATTACACATACAGTGAAATATTTGAAATCTAAAGCATAGACTCAGACTTCACACATTGATATGGATACATAATACATGATGCTTTACCAGTGGTTTTGCATGTTAAAGCTTAATAACTAATATGTAAACCTTCCGTTAGTTCCTTCCATTAGAAATCTTCAATGCTGAATTTTATGAAAAGTTTGCCAGAATTTCCTGCATTCTGGCAAATTTTTCTGCATCAATTTATGGTGGAAATGTTTTAAGGCTCTCAGGCATTCTGTGCTGCTTTCAGATATGTTTCTCCTCAAGATCAACTTTTCTTATTTAATATCCCTGCTGCATCACATGTAGGCTTGATTTAGTCTTCCCTCCTCTTTTGTCTTTAGGCGCTTTATGGGATTATTACACCAATTTCCGGGCTCGCTGTGCTGTGTGAAAGGTATTGAGCCACGACAATAAAATAAATACTGCTTTCAAAATTGCATCTTTTAATAAAGGTTTCTGTTGCAACAACAGAAAGTTCCTCTGAAGTCCTGATCTCAGCAGCTGATCTGCTGTTTAGTGACTGAGCAGTTTACACGCCAGTACTGCAACACACCGAGACAAACTGACACCATATACAAAGAAAGGAATAACGTCATGCATTACATTATTTACGAATTTACAGGGGGGTCAATAATTATTATAATAATTAATAATTAACAATTTTATAATAGACAGCGTTTCACAACGCTTCTTATTTTCCCTTAACTCAACATCTGATTTTTTAAGGGAGTTTTTGGGCTTTTACCCGGCGCCCCACGCACAGACAGGAGAACAGTTTTCTCTTCTTTAGAAAGTATGAAATTGTCCTGTGTTGTCTAATCTTGCGCACTCGGTAGCAACACGTTCTCCAGCTGGGAACGTCGCCATGAGCGATGCATCTTTTATGATTGTAAAGTCAGGGCACATCTGGAATGTGAACGCCGCCGTTGTGTATCAGAAATGTGCTACTCTCAGCCCCATTAACAATCAATCAAATTGTCCAAAGCAAACTGTAACTGTATATACAGTTTTCAAGTGCATATAGCCCACTTATATGCACTTAGAGATGCAACTAACTTATAGTGTACTCAATAAGAAAACTAAAAGTAAAGTAAAATCAATAAGGTCTTAGCTTTATATATATATATATATATATATATATATATATATATAATTAATTTAACTTGAACCGCGGTGAATAATAATTTTAAAAAAGTTATTTAGTGATGGCACATAAACACAGTATTAAACTCGGTTACTGTTTATCTGGCTGCAGCCTGTCTGCTCTGTGTGTCAACTCCCACAAACACACACAAACACACCCTTGTGTGTTTGTGCTGTGTGTTGCACATACACACAGCGGCCAGCAGTGGTAGAGGCCGCAGTGTAGACGTTAAAGTGAAGGTAACTCCAAACTACTCGCGTTGACGAGTGCTACGCTTCTTACTGTAAGTACGTTCGCCAGTAAGAACACAATACTTGATCAATACAACTGTTCTACAAGCAGAAACATATAGAAAGCATTATTTTAATCTGCTCTGTCAATTAGCCAAATGTTACAAATGAGCTAAATTGAAAGCTGTGTGTAGTCTAACTGTTCGGCTTAGTTTGCCATATAGCTTCAAATTTGGCACACTGTTACCTGCAGTGAATCACAGCAGAGAGAGGGGAGGAGGACAGGAGAAAGGACTGATGCCATATTGCAAAGCTGTCTTCTTCTGAAACGGTGAAAAACATCCGAACCTTCAACAACATAATTGTTTGGCTCTAGCTGCCTGCACCCCATCTGCGTGGCTTTATCCAGGCGCAGCAACATGACGCCCAGAACGCGACTACAGCAGCTACACGTGTTATAGCATTATTTGATTCTTATCGATTACTAAATTTTCCAATTTGATTCCGATAATGAAAATATGCCATATATTGGCCGATAATTTATCAGATCTATTATTATCGTGCATCCCTACCAGTTACGTTACCACCGTTCACAAGTGGCACTCAGCGTGAGAGTGGATTCAGTTGATTACTATCATGGCATACACCGGTGTTTTGGATCGAAAATGTTATTGCAATAGTTCATTGTACATGAAGGCGTGAATGATGGTTTCAGAAGCAGAGAAGTTTTAAAGGTGGAAAAAAGCAGTTCTGCTGATTAGGTTGACATGGTGTTCAAGGAGAGATAGCTGTTGAAAATGAATCCGAGGTTGCGGACGTGTGGGGAGGGAGACCGAGTTAATGGTGAGGGAGAAGTTGTGAGTGTCTTTAGTGAGTGATCTAGGCCGATGATGATCAAGTCTGATTTGTCACAGTAGAGTTTGAGGAAATTGGCTTGCATCCATGATTTTATTTCATGTGAGGAAATTGGGGCACAATGATAACAGGGTTTCTGCAGGTTTCACCTGGTCATACTTTTTAAGACCACTATGAATGAAATTTAAGACATATATCACGACATCAAAAAAAGAAACATACAAAGGTAATGCAGTCACAAAATTACTTCCAGAGTAAATAAATGTATTCAAATTAGGGTTGGGTAAGCTACGTAATAAACAGGCTGGCATGCAGTGCACCTGTAGCGCGGGCCCTCGCACTTGTAGCGCGTCCGCGTGTGAGCCGGCCGAGTTGCATATTCTGGAGCTCTGCCGGTGCGGCTGTGAATTTCCTACACGGTTCCGACGCCGCATGAAGGTGCTATATGTCACTTCCTGTGTCCCCTATGTGGAGCTACATAGCACTTGCCGCTATGAATATAAATCGGTGTTGACGTGTAGATGTCTGCGGGGTGGGAGAGTTATCAAGCACGTAAAGTTTGTTTCAGATGTGAGCATGTACACTGAACAATAATGTACCCAAACAATAAAATAAATTCCTTTTATATTTCCCTGCCTTGTTGTTTATGTGTACATACAGAGGAAGAATGTGAGAACAGCACACATTTCATCGTTACTGTGTGTTAGAGCATGGGAGAACAGTGGATACTTTTAATACAGCCCACACCCCTAATACTGTGTAACTATAACAAGTAGAGAACAGAAGAAAAAGATGTTCTTTCTTTACAACTGTCTGCATAGCTTATTCATATTGTGTAATGAATGAAAATAAATAGGCCTACTAGGCTCCTCTCTACTTTGACATTTAAGATTAGCTTGTTTGATCCACCTTCATACACATGTGACATTACTGTACAACTTGAGAAAGGTGAGTTGTTTTCTGCTCCAGCCTGCCTAAAAGAAAAGCGTTTTTGGGATTAAATGGACTTTATTAGCTGCTGCAGTACAGGATGAACTCAGAATAGACCCATTTCTCACCTTATTATTCTAAATCATGCAACGAAGAAGAAGAAATGCATAATAAATCCTGGGACAAAATCTGTCCACAAATACTGTACAGCATGTAGTCTGATGAACAAGACTTGTGTTATAGCTGACTTGGGCAGTGAAATGTTTTTTTAATTCATGTGGTCATAGTTGTCCACAACTCAAATCAGAATATAAGAAGAAATGTTTTATACCACCTCAAGAAGGCTTCCTATCAGAAAGGTAGGAAGGTATTTCAAATGTACAACTGCAGTACTTAAATCTAAGTGAAGTAATTTCCCTGACATTACTGTGTTACGCATGTAACAGGTTTTATACTTCCTGTGAGTATAATCCAATCAATCTTATTTTCATACTGTATATCCGTTGTGTAATTTGATAAATTGTGTTGTATGTGGTGCTCGCATCGGGTACTACTGAGACTTCATTGCCCTCTTCAGAGAAGACTCTGACTGCAACATGCGTCTTTGTAAAGAGAGAAACGGACAGAAAAAGTCTCTAACTCTGCCTGTCAGCTCGCTCTGCTCCGTTAAAACTGAATTTACCATACAGAATTGAATACGAGTGCACTCCAGATTTAGCTGCAGCCAGCTGACCGTGTGCTTCTCCCTATACCGCAGTTCTGTGTCCATGCATGCAGCAAACTGAAAGCACTGTCTGTCGGAGCGTCTACGTGAAAAGAGAAGGAAGACATTGCTGGTAGTATTGTCTTCAGAGTTGTTAAACACCTCAGCGCACTGAAGGAAGCCATCTGACTGTGTGAGGGGCAAGATCGTTGATGTCTGCAGGCAGAGTAGGAGCTCTCCTGTCTGACTGGTCCACCAATAGCAGAGAAGATGACCCCTTGAGACACAGCCCCTCCTCATTTGCATAATGAGGCAGAAATGCATACAAAAATTTAAAAAGACAGGCAGAAATAAATACCATGGGTGAAAATAAATAAGGTAAATAAATACAAAGGAAGAATAAAACAGACAAAAATATTAAAACACACACATAAATAAATACATTAAAA